GGCTGGCAGACATATACACAAATACAAACATTTATCCTTTTCTAGTAAGAGCATGGGATCCTCCACTGGCACTCAGAGCATATGCTGAGCAACAATCAAAATATTGGGAAATGTACTTGCATGCTGCTTTCCCAGAGATGGCATTTACTCAACTGATTATTCTCCTTTTTTTATTTATTATTTTTATTTCAGGATATTATGAGGGTACAAACATTTTGGTTACATTTTATGTCTTTGCCTCACCCAAGCGAGGATTAGAGGCATGCACTTCCCCTCTACAACACTCACTGCGTCCATTAGTTGTGAGTTTACATCCCCGAACCTTCTAATCCCTGGAGAATATTTCTACGGTGTGAGCACCATAGTGTTGATCAGTTAGTGCCAATTTGATGGCAAGTACTTGTGGAACCTATTCTTCCGATCTTGTGATACTTCACCTCGTAGGATGGGCTCAAGCTCTATCCAGGAAAATATAAGAGGTGCTAGATCACTATCGTTTCTTATAACTGAGTAGTATTCCATTGTATACATATATCAAATTTTAATAATCCACTCATGAATTGATGGGTACCTGGGTTGTTTCCACATCCTTACAATAGTGAATTGTGCTGCCATAAACATTCGGGTGCAGACGTCTTTATAATAGAATGTCTTATGCTCTTTTGGGTAGATGCCTAATAGTGCTATTGCGGGGTTGAATGGTATTTCTATTTTTAGCTCTTTGAGGTATCTCCAAATTCTTTTCCACAGAGGTTGCACTAATTTGCAGTCCCACCAGCAGTATGTGAGTGTTCCTGTCTCTCCACATCCTCGCCAGCATTTGTTGTCTTGAGATTTTTTTGATAGAGGCCAATCTCACTGGGGTTCTCATTGTGGTTTTGAGCTGCATTTCTCTAATTATTAGAGATGTTGAGCATTTTTTTTTATATATTTGCTGGCCATTATTCTGTCTTCTTTTGAAAAGTTTCTGTTCACGTCCTTTGCCCATTTTCAACTGATGATTCTTGCATTCATAGGATTATCTAACTTATCAGAAGAAGTTGGGTCAAATTTTTTTTGAAAAAGAGACCAAGTATAAATAGATCAATGATCTATGAGTTTATAAAGAGTCAAATTAGACTAAATTTTTAAAAATTTAGATTGCATAAAAGGGCAATGGTTTCCTGATTATGGGTAGAAAGTAAGCCAGTTAAGAAGCTTCCTCAGTAGCTCAGAAACCACTGATTTAGAGACCACAGAACGCCAAAGAGGTTCCTACTGATCGTCCAACATGATGGTTTCTGAATTTTAACTTTTTATGGTCAAATTCAGATAATGGAACCTGATCATTGATTCGACAGCAGCAAATTATCTGTGGGCTATTCCTCAGGGATGGACCTAGTGTGGACAGATCCATAGATGGTCAAACGTGACAGGGTCCTAAATATCACAGCTTAATTTATACCAAGAGCCATGCTATTTTGCAACTATAAATTGAGTCTATCAAGAGGTTTTTTGAAGTACAAGAAAATAGAGAAGACTTTGGATCTTCATGAAAAGGAATGTTAATCTATAATTTCTCAAATTAAATATTTGGTGTCTAATACCTTACTTTTAGTATAGTCAGAAAAGTGGAGAAAAGAAAAAGGTAGCCTTCTTTTGAGACATCAACGTTCTTCATTGTTTTAACTAAATATTACTTGTTTCTTATGAAAATACTTATAATACTCAACAATGAAAGAAATGAAACAAGTCAGATAAGGCATTAACAATGCCTAAAACATAGTAAGCACTCAAGAAAGATTATCTCCATTATTAGATACTTTTACTATACAATTTTTTTACAATAACAAGATCAAAAACTAAAATACCATCTGCAGAGATAACTGCTATTAGCATCAAAATACATAGTCATCAATTATGTGTATGCACACAGGCCCACATAGATGCATACATAAATAACTCCTCTCTCTTTGAATAAAAATAAGATCATGCTTTACACACTATGCTATAACATGCTTTTCCACTCAATCATATATTGTGAATATATTTTAAAATCAAAATATATATTCATCTATATATATTCTCTAATAACTTTTCCGTTGCCAAATATTATTCTTTGGACAGCTCTGGTTCTAAGAAGTTGAAGCGTTCTTTTCCTGTCTTCAAAGAAACCACAGTAATCAAAGGCTTGTTAGTCAGGGATTTCTGTGCCACTATCTGGCAGATCTTGGCAGGATGCATTCTACCTAGTTAGACAAGAAAAAGAGGAGCAACCAGGTATATGATGAGCTGTGGAGGGGGAGCCTTGCCTTCCAGCTTGCCTTTCATGTTTTTATGTTTACAATTTCATACAGAAACACCCATAGGCACACAAAGTTTAGGAGAATTAAAAAAAAACTCAAAGAATTTGTACTTTTCTAGGAAAAGTACAAACTCTGACTATTCAATCATTTCTATCTGAGAGAGCCAAATTAAGCCTGAGCAATGAAAAACACTTAAAAAGAAAAATTTTAAAAGTGAGAAGAAAAATTTGGCATAAATCCATCCCCATAAAACTTCTGAGATAGAGCCTGAGAGCACATGCTTGGAATTTGCTGTATTATCTCAGCTTCATAATATGAGATGCAAGAAGAAAAGCCATTGACAGTATGTAAAATCCCTTAAGAAAAATGCAAGTCATGGATGCCAAAGCAAAAATTAATCCATACTCTTCCCAGGTCTACCTATTTTGGCCTTGAGAAATAGTTGACACGGTATATCAGGGCCTATGGATGCATTTTACTTGCCTCTCTATTCTGTAACAGCTAGCCAAGGGAGACCTTAGCTTCATAGCAAACATTTAAAACTCGAGGACAAGAAAAATGAATTTTTTTCTTCAATTTTCCTAATGTGGCTTCAGTGCCCCAGGAGTTGTTACCCTAACAGTTTGAGAAAATGCACATTTGCAGTCCAGAGACCAGAGATCAACAGTCCATTTTTCAGAAAAAAACAAAATGAGATATCTGGAAACTTAAACTAATGTGAACAGGTTTGGCTACTTGAAAAGTATCAGATCCTGCTGTAAAAATTATAGCAAAACAACAGCTTCTTAGAGCAAAAAAGAAAAAAAGAACAAAATGTTATGTGATAAAAATAAGTGATGGTCTCATCCCCACATGAAATTCAAACAACCCATCTAGAAAACTTATTTAGTAAAATATTTTAGGCAAAACATTGGTGAAATATGTACATACACAAATGTACATTCATATATACATTCATCTACTTTCTCCATACATAACACATGAGAAATAGATATTGATATATAGGAATTTATAGACAGATAAGACAGATAGATACATAACCATAGACAGATATCGATAGGTAGATATCCACAGATCAATCTCACTGGCATATAGAAGAAAATAAGAGGCAAAACTATTAAGAGACTATTTATTTAAAGGAAGAAAGAAAAGGACAGAGGCAGGCAGATGAATGAATATACTACATCAAGTTTATTATACACATAAACAAGGGAAACAGTAATAACTCAGTGTAACATCTGAAGTTTTGACTTTCCCCATCTGAGTCAACAACTGAACTTGGCTCATGTACCCTGAATAACACTTGTATTTCTACTTCTCCAAATTTCAGCATCAATCACTTTCAAATCTTTGTATTTTGCATTTTAAATGCAGAGCTCATGTCCTTGGTTTGGCTAAAGATAGGATCCTCCTTTCTACCAGCTTCATTAAGTAGAATCAGTAGCTTCTTTTTTAGATACAATTTATAGCTTGAAAATTACCGTAAGGGGACCACCAAACACTCTATCCTGATTGTGTGGGGGCCACTCTAAGGTCTCTGTCTAAAAATCTACTAGTTAAAATCTGCCAGGCAGTTAGTCATTGATTTTACAAATATTAATTAAATACAATGATACTATGGGCCAGGTATTATGCTTGGTTCTGTAGTAGCAGTAGTGAATGAAACCAAAATGGTCACTATACTGGGGTTTAAAATCTAGCAAAGGTGAAGATATTAAACATTATACTATGATGACTTTTCACTCCAATTGTGATAAATGCTGTCAAGGGGAAGGAGAGGGTACTGAGAAATGGACCATAGTGAGTCTGGGGAAAATTATAGCTCAAGCAAAGATATTTATTGCACAGATCCAAATGAACAAAATATTAATAAATAAAAAAGCAAGCATTCTCCATTGTGTTGATGATTACAAATTGACATTGTTCATCACTAACATTCTCCCTAAGATCATCCTTGCCTTAACATAAAAGGGAAGGAAACCAACATGAGTGTCTAGTGTATACAAGGTACTATCCATGAACTTTCCATATGTATTATCTTGTTTGATCCTCCCAACAAACCTATCAGAAGGGCATTATTACCATTACTTCCATTTTACACAACAGGAAACAGAAGCTAACAAGATGAAGTAACTTGTCCAGAACTAGAATTAAAGTTTAGGTAACTGAGCGTACAATACTACTCAAGCAACTACAATGCCTATCTCTGTTTCTTGGAAAAAAAATATTGGTAAAATATACAAAGCGATTCTCCTAAGACATTTCTTTTCTCAAAAAATAGTTATTTTTTCTATTTTAAATATAGATTAATAATGTTTGTTGCTCTATCTCTGTTTCTTGGAAAAAAATTGGTAAAATATATAAAGCGATTCTCCTAAGACATTTCCTTTCTCAAAAAATAGTTATTTTTTCTATTTTAAATATAGATTAATAATGTTTGTTGCTCATACACTCAGATGAAAAGGACTTTTTTTTTTTTTTTTTTTGAGACAGAATCTTATTTTGCTGTCCTGACTAGAGCACAGTGACATCAGCCTAGCTCACAGCAATCTCAAACTCCTGGGCTCAAGCGATCCTCCTGCCTCAACATCCCAAGTAGCTGGGACTACAGGTGCACCACCACACCCAGCTGATTTCTTTTTTCTTTTCTTTTTTAATAGAGATGGGGTTTCGCTCTTGCTCTAGCTAATCTCGACCTCCTGATCTCAAGTGATCCTCCAGCCCTGGCCTCCCAGAGGGCTAGGATTTAAAATGACTTTTTAAAATTTTAATTTGTAAATATAATTCTCTAGCTCTATCAAATGTTATTGGAATTTTTATCCCAATAAAAAAGAAGCCGAATATAAAATCCATTTCAGGAAGTTTCATAAGTTTGTAAATTAAAAAATCAAATGCGACTATTACGTCAAACCACTTGAAATTGCTGATATTCAACCATTGGAACAAAAAAAAGTAGCAATTTCTCATGGTTCAACTTAATATTTTTTGCACTCATGCTGAATGTAAGGCATCCTTGCAAGCATGGAAAGGTTCTTAAACCCTTTTAGCTCCTTTAGCTTGCTGAAGAGACAAAGTATAATAGTTAAACATTCAAGCAACTATTAAATCACTCAATATAGAGATATTTTAAAGCAGTACATAATTTCCAACTAAAGGGAATAAAACAGTATGATCAGAGGAGGAAACAAGTTTAAAGACAGGAGTCAACTGCCACCATGACTGTGGGCAAGAGCAGCAAGAAGCTGCAGCATATCGACTACAGGATAAAGTGCATCCTGCAAGACGGCTGCATCCTCATTGGCACCTTCAAGGCTTTCAACAAGCATATGAATTTGATCCTTTGTGACTCTGATGAGTTCAGAAAGATCAAGCCAAAAAACTCCAAACAAGCAGAAAGGGAAGAGAAGCGAGTCCTCGGTCTGGTGCTGTTACCAGGGGAGAACCTGGTCTCTATGACAGTAGAGGGACCTCCTCCTAAAGACAGTGGTATTGCACAAGTGCCACTTGCTGGAGCTGCTGGGGGCCCCGGGATCGGCAGGGCTGCTGGCAGAGGAATTCCAGCTGGGGTTCCCATGCCCCAGGGTCCTTCAGGAGTTGCTGGGCCAGTCCATTGGGTTGGTGGGCCATCTCAACAGGTGATGACCCCACAAGGAAGAGGCACTGTGGCAGCCACTGCAGCTGCTGCCACAGCCAGTATTACAGGGGCCCCAACCCAGTACCCACCTGGCCGTGCAGGTCCTCCCCAACCTATGGGCCGAGGAGCACCCCCTCCAGGCATGATGGGCCCGCCTCCTGGTATGAGGCCTCCCATGGCCCCCCCAATGGGGATTCCCCCCTGGACAAGGGACTCCAATGGGCATGCCCCCTCCGGGGATGCGGCCCCCTCCCCCAGGGATGCGAGGCCTTCTTTGACCCTTGGCCACAGAGTTATGGAAGTAGCTCCACAGAGGCCTGGGCTCGATTCCTCAGGGCCACGTTACCACAGACCTGTTTGTTTGTTATGCTGTTGTTCGAGGAGTCTCACCGGATTGTCTGGTTTCCCTTACAGGGCCCCCTCCCCCGGGAATTCGCCCACCAAGGCCCTAGACTCATCTTGGTCCTCCTCAGCTCCCTGCCTGTTTCCTGTAAGGCTGTACATAGTCCTTTTATTTCCTTGTGGCCTATGAAACTGGTTTATAATAAACTCTTAAGAGAATATTATAAATGCACCTATGTATCTATTTATTCTTATAAAAATCTTTGATATATTGGGTGCTTAATTGAGTCAAGGGTTACCTTGGGAAAATTAGCCCTAATCTTATCTGCTTCCCTATAACACTTTACTACATATTTGCATCTGATACACAACTTCATATACTAAGAGAATCACAAAATTGAACTTCAAGGAGACCTTTTCACCTATCAAATTCAAAGATCAAACAGTTTGTTGAAATAAACAGTCATATGTTGTTGGTGAGCCGTATAAACTGATACATGCTCTTGGGCACTCATCTGTTTAGCTCCTCAAATAGTACTTTAGATTATATTCTTTTTTGTATCCAACAAAGTATGAAGCAAATGCTAGAAGTGAAAAAAAAAAAAAAGAAAGTACTTTCTCCCCTCTACGAAATGGAGGAACCATTAAATGGTTTAGAGTACATGTGCAATGTGATCAAAATAATGTTTTAGAAAGTTATTTGGTGAGAATATAGAAAACAATATAGAAAAGAAACAAAAAATCTAAGTGATAACTTATTGGCCTGGAGCAATAGGAATTAAAAAGAAGAAACGAATAAGAAAAAATGTATTTGCTAGGGAGATTTGGATATCATGGTTCTAATTGGTCAGTGAGATGAAGATGTCAAAGATGACTGGGCAGTTGTGAGTCTGGGGAGATTGGAATAACGTAGAAGAAAAGGAGAGATTGATTCAGGCCAAAAGAGTGGGAAAAGAGAATTGACTTCGATACCTGTTGAGGTTTCTACAGCAACAAAACAGCCAAGAGGATGCATAGAAATGAAATTTGAGAGCAATCAGCTCTGTCAAAAAATTTCTACAGACTTTGAATCATAGTATGAGATGAAATGCACCATGTATTGAGAACACAATATCTATTTCTATTCTCATGTCCCAGAACTATACCTGGCCTAGGTTGAAAAGAATAAAATAGATGACATAGTGATGGAGCAGGAAATTAAAAGGGAACGTCTGATAAGTGCTAGTTAAAGGTGCTTGCAGGGCAGAGTTTAGTAAAGCTTAACTTGAGAATGGAATACCAAACAGAAGGATAAAAGCACCTGGAAAAAAAAAAGTGGGAAATCACCAAAGAAAATCTTTGGGTACTTCTCAGTTTTGCACCAATCCAGCAGTGTCTGCAGGAAGAGGGACTTGTCTCTAGACTCTGAAAATGTAGACTGCACAGTTCTGCCCAAGTTAATAACCTAGAGACTCTTCATGCCCCTTCCAACCCCATACAGCCAATTCCATCAATAAAGAGGTTCTGGTACAATGGCCTGGAATAAACAAACTCTAAAGATGGCCTCAGGGTACTGAACAGTTGGCAATAGTACACAACACAGCACACACAGATCATTAAGTTCCACTGAGACCAAATGACAGAAATCCCAATACTATGATTAATTCTTCCCCTGACTTTTCCCATATTTGAAACAAAGTTTGTGCTGGAAAAAAATAAGAATTCATAATTCAGGATCTATATTTTCTTAACAGATCTATAAACAGTCTTCAGGGGCTATGGAAATTTTTGTGTATGTGCATATATGCCTTGTTCTGAAAAAAGATCCCTTGATTTCCTTGGATCCTCAAAGAGATGTGGTAATGCAAGAGATTAGGAACCATTGCTAAAAGAAAATCAAGGATGATTATTCATGAGGGTTTATTTAACATGAGAAGTTTCATAAAACTGATAAATGGAGAATATACTACAATTGACTCAACCATTTATAATAATTTGCTAGTATAGATGCATCATAAAATGTTGATAAAGAGTTTAATGTATATTTAAAATACTTTCATAATTTTAAATTTAAAAAGCAGGAAATGAAATTGTATGGTTTCAACAATAGAAAACATATTTTGAAAAAATATCCCTTGTTAGTGAGATAATTTTTAGTTTCTTTTTCAAAAATGTATGGTATCCTCCCCAAATTTTTAAATAAGCATGCATTGGTATAGTATTATAATTATGTATAATTTATAAAGATTCATGGAGACTACAGGGTTCCAAAACTAAATGTGAAGGTCTTTTCCCTGTATGGTTTTGTTGGTCAGCTAAAAATGGACCATTCTCCGATTTTTATGGAGACTCACCAATGTGAGTAAGTTATATTTTCTTGGTGCCTGTGTTGTCCTCACACACCCCAGCCTCTCTGATGATGTATGATGTGCCTACATCATAGATTTTTTTTCTCTAATCCACAATAAAATTTTTCCTGGTTGACTGAAAAACTCAGATTTAGAAATAACTTCAAGAGAACAAGTCCAACCTGTCTTCTAAAGGCACTCAAATCTACATCTTCTTCTAAAATATGTTACAGTAGCAATAAGTAAACTTTCACCTCCTGCTACTTGGCATCATAGACTCTGTGCTTGGGAAGGCCAAAATTGTGACTGTCCTTAGGAGGATGGCATGTCCCAGCTGTGGCTCCCAACCAAGGGCAGTACGACTTTCAAGCGAATGTTTGAGACCTGCATGGGGTGTTTTGATTGCTACTGCAACTGAGACGTACTGCTGTTATTGAGTATTCAAGGACCAGGCTGGCTAAACATCCTGCAATGACCAGGATGGTCCAATAGAAACAGATACTGTGTTCTCAACATGGCTCATTTCATCTCATACTATGGTTCAAGACCTGTAGAAATTTTTTGACAGAGCTGATTGCTCTCAAACTTCAATTCTATGCATCCTCTTGGCTATGTTGTGCTGTAGAAACCACAATCTCTCATAATGAGGCACTGTGCAGCCAAAATGCCAATAGCACTTCTTTCGGGCATTGCTGAGCCTTTACCAGTGGGCTCTTCTCATCCGTTCCTCCTCTCCTGCAGGGCTCCAGTTCAAATTGATCTTCTCAATGAAACTCTCCCCTAAACACTTCAGTGCATCCCTTCTCTGTATTTACATCTCTTGAACTCAGTTGGGTACTTAACGATATGGTTTCTTATATAAAGATGTAACTGCTTCATATGTGAATGTTTTGCCTTCCTCAACGGAATTGTGGACTCTCAAATCATTTAGGAAAATTATAAATACTATCATGTAGGAAGTTCTAAGTACTATATGAATGAATCAGAATAGATTCTGTAGGAAAAGGTCAGGTAGTACAAAAACTTTAGATGTTCTAGAGAGAAGTGCTTTTTTTAAAGAAACAATCACATGCTGAGCTGCCTTAGGAATACTTCGTTTTAATTTAGTGTAACTGACAGCAGCAGTATCACATTCAGGTAATATTGGTACCAAAGTAAAAGATCAAATATCATCAACTATTTTCCTTTCTGATTTTTCTAGCTGTTAGTAAATTAACGAAAGCTTACTTCAACATTATGATTAGACATCAAAAGTGGACTAAGTTCTTAAAACTCATTTAGTTAATTCTTTATCATCATGACCAAAAGAATGTACTAGGTTCATGAAGTGTGCTGTACTGGGCAATCTTCATAGCAACTAAAGCTGACCTAAACTTTATCTTTTAGTAGCTTCCCATAAAATAAATAAATGAAAAGGCAAGTATAATTTAGCATGTTTGCAAATACAGGTCTTAAGTTAATTTTATGGAGGCTAGGATGATAGGGGTCAGGAAGAGAAAGGCTTGCAGCAAAAGAAACAAAGAAGAAATTGCCTGCTTTGGAAAAGGTGTAGCAAAAGGGGTAAATGCCTCTCTTTAATCAGTAAGGTCAAGTTTTGGTGAAAGAGACAGAGTTACAGAATAAATTTTTTAGCAAGTTCACTGTCTTTAATGGTGCTAGGAAAATTAGATAACCATATGCAGAGGAAGGAAAATGGACCACTATCTCCCCTGTATACAAAAAATAAGACCTGAAACTATAAAACTGCTAGGAAAAAAAATAAAGAAAATACATCAAGACATCAGTCTAGGCAAAGATTTCATGGCTAAGACCTCGAAAGCACAAACAACTATAACAAAAATAAACATTTTAAACCAAAAATCCTCTGGACAGCAAAGGAAACAATCAGAGTGAAGAGACAACATGTTGAATGGGAGAAAATATTTGCAATCTATTCATCCAATAAGGGATTAATATCCAGAATATGCAAGGAGCTCAAATAACAATAAAAAAAAAAGAAAAAGAATTAATCCCATTGAAAAGTGGACTAAGGACACGAATAGACACTTCTCAAAAGAAGACATACAAATTGCCACACAACAAGTATATGAAAAAATGCTCAACATCACTAAGCACCAGGGAAATGCAAATCAAAACCATGATGAAATATCATCATACCCCAGTTAGAATGGTCATTACTGAAAAGATAAAAAATAACAGATGCCGGCAAGGATGTAGAGAAGAGGGAATTCTTATACACTGTTGGGAATGTATATTGGTACAACAGCTATGGAAAACAGTATGTAGATCCCTCAAAAAACTAAAAATAGAACTACCATAGGATACCACTACTGGGTATTTATTCAAAGGAAAAGCAATCTCTATATCAAAGGGAAACCTGCACTTACATGTTTATCACAGCACTATTCACAAGAGCAAAGATATGGAATCAACCTGGGTGTCCACGGACAGATGAATGGATAAAGAAAATGTGGTATAAATACACAATAGAATACTATTTGGCCATAAAAAAGAATGAAATCATGTCATTTGTAGCAACATGGATGCAACTGAAGGTCATTATGTTAGTGAAATAACCCAGCCACAGAAAGACAGAAGCCACATGTACCCATTCATATGTGGGAGCAAAAAAAGTTGATCTCACAGAGACAGGAAATAGAATGAGGATTAACAGAGAGGCTGGGAAGGGTGTGTGGTGGGATAAAGGAAAAAGAGAGGTTGATTAATGGGTATAAAAATACAGTTAAATTGAACAAAGAAGCCCCAATATCTGATAGGAGAGTAGGCTGACTAAAATTAGCAACAATCTATTGTATGTTTCAAAGTAGCTAGAATATACTCAATGGTCTTGAAAGAAAAAATACAAAAAAAGTAGCTAGAATAGAAGACTCAAAATGGTCCCAAC